GGACATAAATACTTGCCTGATAAATCCACATCTGTAGCAGGGATTTGGTATTGTTGCACTTAGCAACAAAACAGAAGTCAAGTTCAAGATCGTATTCCTCCCTTTTCTTTCTAGTGTAAAAGCAATTTTGAAAGTTTTGTAGCATTTTAGGGTGACTGTTGTTTTGGGCATCCTGAGCTTGTGGAAGACTATTTTTAACTACTGTGAGATTTTAGTCCATTACTTTTTCTTTGAGAACGTCCTCAAAGGTAGTAAGGAGTGGCAGGGGACCTCCAGCAGCTCTTAACTTTGAGCAGGGGAGCCAGTCACTCTGCAAGGGGGACTCGATGCGCCCAACACGCATGTGCGGCTCGGCGCGCTCCCCGCGCGCTCCGTGCGCGCCCGGTCCAGCCCCGCTCCCTGCCGTCTGCTCCCTCGGGTCAGCCCTGCGCACGCGCGCCGGAGGCCGGAGCCTCCTGTTAACTCACTCAGGTCCTCTAGGACTTGGCCGAGTCCCGGCCCGGGCCAGGGCGGTGGCTGTCTCCCAGCTGTCCCAGCGGAGCTGAGACCTCAGGCAGCTAGAAGCCCCTGGGCCGCGAGGCTCCGGACAGGGGAGAAAGGGCGCGGACGCACGCCGCGGCGGGTCGGCCGCACGCTTGGTGGCGCTGGGATCCCAGGCTGGGTGGGTGCTGCGTAGGACAGCGGGTCCTCTCCAGGCTGCAGACTCGGCCCAGTCAGCTCGGCCTGTGGACTGAAACGGCACACGGCAACCTACACGCCCCGAAGTGCAAAAGTTACTCGGAGGAGACCTGCGAGCTGCACGGGGAGCGAGCAGCCCCGCGAGGCCGCCTGGGCGACCACGGGCGGAGTCCCGGAGGCTGAGGCTCGCCCGCGCCCCGCGCCCCGCCCGCCCGGGGAATCCGGGAGGGGTGGCTGTCTCCCATTAAGCTGACTTGACAACAATTACGAAAGTTTTTAATTAGCTTCTTGTTATCATTCATTTTATTAATTTCCAGAACTCTCAGGCCATGAATTATGCAAAGGGCCGGGCACCCCGAGCGGGGCGGCCGCGCGCCCCCGCCGCACGCGCCCGGCTGCTTCGTGGCCGCGCCGCTCGCCCGCTGCAGGGTGAGCAATCCCGCGCCGCAGCCGCAGTGGCGCGAAGGTTTGATCAAATATTAAATAGCGTAATTATTGCGACAAGGCTTATCTCTCAGGTGGAAAAGAGGCCCCTGTGAGAATTAGATTTCGGCTGCAATTTTTAAAAAAAATCAATTAAGCTCGCGGTCTTCTTTGAAACAGCCCGCGAGGATTGTGGGGCTCCCTTCGCGGGGCTAAGACTGCGGCCGCAGTAACACCGACGGCAGAAGTTTGTCAATAGTAATTGTGGTCGTCGCCTGTATTAGCACTCTGGACCCCAAAGCCATTAGAATGGTTGGGGGAACACTGGTTTGGGCCAGGGCCAGGGCCCCAGTTTCAACTTCGGGACCCATAAACCTGACAGGCAGAGCAGGGGTGCTTCCTTCACGCAGGGAGGCCGGACTGGCCGGCGAGGCAGCCCTGGGCTGACCGGTGTCCTCGGCCTAGCGTGCTGCGTGTGGGAACCGACCCAAGTAGTCTAAATATGACAAGTCAGTAAAAAGCAATACAATCACGGCAGTGGGTGCCTACGGTTTATTTATGAGTACAATCGAAGTTGAGAGCAATTTCTGAACACGCAGCAAACAAAAATCTATTCAGAAGTTTGTAGATGGGTTTTGAGGACGTTGTTTGTTAGACATAGAGAAGGAGCAGGACTCAGTGCAAGGCTAGGGAGGAGACAATTTAAAACGAATGCATGGTATGAATGTGGCAGACACATTTTAATGCTTTTCTTCTGCTTTTTCTACTCTGCTGCTGGATTTCCTCAGAAACTGAAAAGCAAACGGAGCTCACTTTTGCTCCCACTCTCAAACTTATTTTGAGATTATTCTTTAAAAGAATGCCAAGTCATATATTTCTACCCACCGCTTAGCGTGAAGTTCAGCTCTTCAGAACCAGAGAACTTTGAAAAGCCAAACTACCACTTAATGCCAAGCTTTTTGTTTCACTTCAGAAAGACATTTTTGTTTGTTTCTCCATGGTTTGACAGTTAAAGGTACCTTGAATGGTCTTATTCTTTCTAGCTGTTTACAGATTCCGTCACTAAAAGGCAAAACATTTTTTGTTTTGCACAGTTTCCTACTACATAAAATAGGAAACTCTGCAAAACATGGATTTTCATGATGTTTTATTAACGTCTTCTCTTGTTAAGGATTTCACTTAATACAAAACAAATGCTTAAATTTTTAATATATACATTATCCATTATATAATACAAATGTATTTGCAACATTTCTATTTGGGCAAATTAAAAAAAAAAAAACCTTTGTAAATAGTTTCATTTGTTCATTCCTTGTACTCCAACAATGAAATCTGGTCATACTTTTCTATAAAATAATGTGAATTTTTACAAATGCATTTTATTAGAAATTTACATAATTCAATAACAACAGAAACAAATCAATTTTGATGGAAGAGATCTATTTTTAAAAATATCTAGTGCTTTTTAAAACATTAACAACTGTTTAAAATCACAGCTTTTAAAATGCACTACTCTTTTTTGAACATCAAGTGTTTTGTTTCACAGATTTGCCGGTGCAATTAAAGAGATTTAGCTAAAATAGGATGACTTCAGAAGATATAATCCCAGCTATTAAGAAACTTTGTACATTTGGCATCTGATCTAGTCTCAGATCACCAGGAAATAGAGCCTTTCTGGTCACTCCGGAGCTATAGGTAGCACACTGAATGTTCCAAATGAACAGAAGCATTTGACAAGGTATCTGGACAGATCAGTAGATGGTTTTTATTAACCTTCAAAGAAAAGCCATTTATTTACAACATTTTCAAACCCCCAAATGTCACTGTCCCTGACCCTCCAATGTTTTTTTCCAGGTGCCTGGTTATTTTTTATCCACCATTCTGATGGACTGCTGTAGTTAAGAGTGTCTGCAGTTTAAAAAAGAACTTTGATAAATATAGCTAATATCGAATTGTAATCAGAGCACCACTTTTGAATTTTAATTCAGAAAAAAAATCCCCCCCCCTTTTTAATCCCTCTTTCACATCCTTCCCTTGTTTTTGTTTGGTTAAGATATCTGGTTGAAGTGCCTCATTTGTTCAACCACTCTACCAAGACTTGGCCCAACATAAACACAAAAATGCAGCCAAAATCATAAAACTGCTCTTCTTTCAGTTATGTTTTATTTGTAGGTGTACTAGGACACATCTCCCTCTTGTTCTGTGGTGCACAGAAGTGATTCTGATAGAAGTGGGGGAGGAGGAATGTAATAAAGCATAGACATAACCAAGGAGAAAGCTCAGTAGACACACATGGACAGGTAGATCAATCCGTGAGACGTTTTAGGATTAACACTGGAAGTTTGTAACCACTGTGTGAATGTGTGCATTAAATAAAATATTTACAAGAATCTTTTTTTCCCCTCTAAATACAAGATATGACAAGAATGTTGTGTTTTCAGTGGACACAGGCAATAGACTGTGAAATCACACTATCCACAAAAAACGGTCTACCAGCAAGCTAGCCCAGTTTAGTGCTCATTTTCAAATGCATAGAATGTTACCGCTGCAAACAATGATATACAACATAATTAAATAAATAATGCTTAACCAGAGTGAGACCTAATTGTGTTTCTTTCTGCACCTTTCAAATCATGCATATCAGTCTTGTTAAACAGCAAGGTTTTTTTTTTTCCCATTTGTTTTGTATTAATAATTTTTTAGTTATGGTTAAATGATGGTAATAAACCACCTCCATACGAGATCCAAAGAGTTTCTTGTACACAAAGCAGGCATTTTACCTCACCACCTTTAACTGTCTCTCCTTTTTTGATCCATCAGCAGCTTGTAAGTTAACTTGATTATTATTATGAAATACTATACATGGTTTTCTATTTGGGAAACTGATAGTGCAAATTAAAGTTCTTGCTACCCAACATTTATCCCCAGTAATAAATGACTCTTGAATAATAATAGCAACAAAAAGGAAACAGTTGTTCTGCCTTCCCCAGGGGAACATGCAGACCTCTTTGAAATAAATGGAGTAGGGGGAGGGCCTTTAAATCTTGCTCTCTTCTGGGATTTAGGTGATTTTCTCACAGCCAAGTCCTGCCCCAACTGAAAGCAGAAACTTCTCAACATTTCATCCATCTTTTCCAAGAGAAGAGGAAAGAGGACCTAGAAGAGCAAGATGAGTCTTATTCAGTGGATGGAAAATTGAAGGAAATTTCTCTCCTAACATTTTACAACTCATCAATGTATTGAGTGGGTTGGGAAAAAAAAAGAAAAAACAAATAGTGTGAAAGGAGCCATTCTTAAAAATAAAGGGCAAGCTAAGGCAAAGCCCTGTAAGGGAGCAGGAGCTTACTTAAAAATAGTCCATTTTTTAGATACTGTAATTAGCTATGAGCAAAAGAGAACAATCTTGCTATAATCGTTTTACTTTTCTTAGAATAAAATAATTATTTCAGAGACTCTTAAATTCTTCCTTATAAACAGCGCAGACTGTAACTCTCACTCTAAAGGCCCTCTCCCAACCAGGCCCAGGGCCTCAGGACGTAGCCTGTGCCACAGTCCTTCCAACCAGACAGCCCACCTTTCAACCCCACACCCCTCTCAGCTGTGTCCACACTCACTGCCCAGCGCAGCCACTGTGGAGCAGTCACTGGAGTCTCATTGGAACAGGGAAAATAAATCAAGGAAGATGTGGATGAGGTGAAAGAGGGACTTTGAGGGAAAATTTAAACACGAAAACAGAACTAGCTTCACTATCCTGAATTTCACCTGGTTTGGTTTTTGACTCAGTTCACCAGTTGGTATAGGATTGGGGCAGTGGTAATTATGGTAATGCTCTTTTCTCTCTTCCTTGAGGGTAAATGAAGCTGCATATTATGGCTCCCCGAAGTTAAATTTCTAAAACATTTTTCTTTGCTTTTGTTTTGTTGTCTTTATTTGTCTAGTTTTTTGTGGTTGGTGGGTTTGATTTTGTACATAGTTCCTTGGTCCCCAGGAGATTTTGATAAATGTCTCTGGTCAAAAACAGTCCATTTCCTAACCCTTCCCACATCTCCCCCCCTCCCTAGCCCTCTGAACCATCCTGCTCCTCAAAAACCCCTGTCCACTCTCCACTTTCCTTCCCCCCACTTCCCACTCACCTAGACTCTCCCCCCATCTCCCCTGGCCATACTCTTTTCTCCACTTCCAGCACCCCTGTCCTCCAGACTAGGGGGCTGGGGATAGTAAGGAAAGAGAGTAGAGTGGGGTGCAGGAAAGAGCAAGAGAGACTTCCCAAACGCAGGCAGGATAACGGACACTCCAAAAGCCAGAGGAAGCAGGCCAGAGGAAATACCCCCTGAAAGGCCCCCTCAGCTCCCGCTCAGCCCCCACCCAGCACCTCCCACCTCCCTCAGTAAGTAGCCGAAAATTTCATCCGCTTCTGCTTCTGTCTCTGGTTGCAAAACCACACCCGCACCACGTTCTTTTTGAGGTCCAGTTTCTCGGCGATGGCGGCAATCTTCTCCGAGGAGGGCCGGGGCTGCACAGCGAAGTAGGCCTCGAGGGAGCGCTTCTCGGGCGCGGCGATGGAAGTCCGCTTACGCTTCTTCTCCCCGCCGTTGAAGAGCTCCGGCTTGTTCATTTTCTCTCGCTGCGCGCCCTCGGCCTCCTCCAGCCACGCCTGCAGAATGGGCTTGAGCGCGATCATGTTGTTGTGCGAGAGCGTGAGCGACTCGAACCTGCAGATGGTGCTCTGGCTGAGCGAGCCCACGCCCGGGATCTTAAGGTTGGCCAGTGCGGAGCCCACGTCGGCCTGCGTCACGCCCAGCTTGATGCGCCGCTGCTTGAAGCGCTCAGCGAATGCCTCGAGCTCGCGCGGGTCCGTGTCCGAGTCGCAGATGGACGCCAGGCCCGCTGCGCCCACCACGGCCGCCGCCGCCGACGCCGCCGCAACCTGCCCGGCCGCTGCCGCCGCTGCAGCCGCCGCTGCGCCGTGGTGTGCGGCCGCCGCCACCAGCCCGGGGTGCGGCAGCCCGGACGGCATGTTCATGGCGGCCGCCGCCGCCGGGTGCGACAGGTGGCCCAGGCCGTGCATGTGCGGGTGTGGGTGAGCGGAGCCGCCGAGCAGCCCGCCGCCCGGGCCGCCACCGCCACCCCCCGGGCCGCCGCCACCCCCGGGGCCGCCGCCACCCCCGGGGCCGCCGCCGCCGCCCCCCGGGCCGCCACCGCCCCCGGGACCGTCGTGGGCTCCGCCGCCACCGCCAGCCGCGCCCGCGCCCCCAGCGCCGGCCATGAGCGCGAGCGACGGCGAGGAGATGTGGTCCAGCAGGTCACCAGGCTCCAGCGCCTGGTGGTGGTGGTGGTGGTGGTGGTGGTGCGCCAGCGGCACGGTGGACGTGGACGTGCAGGGCACGCTGTTCATCGTGTGGTACGTGGCGTCCGGCTTGAAAGGGTGGCTCTTGCCCTGGGACACCGCGATGTCCACGGCCGCCAGCGCCTCGGCCCGCGCCAGCAGCGTTTCGTCCAGGCTGGCGAAGAGGTTGCTCTGCAGCTGCAGGCGACACAAACCAAACCAAACGAAAACAAAAACAAAAAGCCACAAAACCAAAAAAGAAAAAAGAAACAAAAAGCAGAAAACACACACAAGCCGGAAAACACAACAAGCAAAAGGCAAACACAAAGCAACCAAAATAACAGCGAGGGTGGGAAGAGTGGAGAGCGGGAAAGACGAAACGGAACGGGGACACACAGTAGGGGTGCAGACGAAAAAGGACAGGAGCATGAAGAGGGTCGCAGAGGAACAAGGAAAAGGGGGACACAGGAACACATTCCAGGAACGGGCGTGGGAGACGAAACGGGAGGGGGAAAGAAGAAGAAGAAGAAGAAATGGAGATGTAACTCGCAGCTGGGGACCCATGTCACACACCCGAGCACGCACAGAGACCGCCTTTCAGAGGCGTGAAATTAACAGAGAAAGTACAGGGAAGTCGAGAGTCGCGGCCCCAGAACTCCCCTCTCCGTCGCAGGCGCTCGACACCGAGGCAGAGACAGGCTGGCGCGCGACCCCAGCCCGCCGGGCGAGGCCCGCCGCGGGACCCCGCCAACCCTGCGGGACGGGGCCGGCAGCCCGCATGCGGCTGCTCGGGGGAGGGGCGGGCGCGCGGGCCGGGCCGGGCCACGGGCGCGGGGCGCTTACCGGCGGCGTGGGCAGGCAGGCCCGCCGGATGGCCTCGGAGCTGGAGTGCAGCGACGGGTACTTGTGCTCAGGGAGGGTGGGATGCATGGCAAAGTGAGGCTGCTTGCTGTTCATGGACATCATCTTGACCGCTTGGCATGTAAATCCACAAACACTGCGAAAGTCCGCGGGAAAGTGCGCGCGCCGGTCCCCGGCCTCCTTCCGAGGTGGCAGCCGCGGACGGTGGCGGCCGCGCCGCGGGCTCCCGCCGCTCCTGCTGCCGCCCGGTGCTCCCTATGGCCGCGCAGAGCGCCGCGCGCCGGCCTCGCGGTCCGCTTCTCCGAGAGCTCTAGCCCCGCGCGCAGAAGGGATGCACTCCTCTTACACCTGAGCCCCACTTCTCGCGGCCGGCCCGGGGAGCTCTCGCGAGAGCTCGCAGCCCCGCCGCGTTGACAGGCATCAGCTGTCTCCGTCTGTCTGGCGCGCGCTCTTCCTGTCGGCGGCGCCGTGCGTCTGCGCGCGCGCGCACTCGTCGGGCAGCGACGGGCGCGTGGGAGCCGCTCTTATAGTGACCACCAGCAAGGACAGCGCAGGTGATGCACCTGTAGCTACTCGGGCATGCGCACTGCGCGCGTGCCCGTTCCACCGCGGGTCTGGAAAGATTAGACGGGTGGCCTATTGTCTCAGGGTAGGCACCTTTGCAGGGAGAAAGGCCACATGTGCACACTCCCCTCTGTGGGTTTCTCCCTCCTCTCCCTCGAAGGCTCTGAATATACGCGCCTCACTTAGGCATAACTCCTTTCCGGGATACCTAACAAGCAGTTATATAGTGTGTGCAGCTGGGCGTTTGTTTGTTAAATTATGCCCGCGAATTCCTCTGTATGTAGAGAAAAGTAATACAGAAATGAAGACGGTGCTCTCTTTTGCTGCAAGAATCTGTTTCTTTTAAGGTTTATAAATAGGTTCCCGGAGAATAATCGCGGTGACAGACATTTGTTTGAAGCAGTCAGACGCTATTGATTTCCACATAATTTAATTTCCTCTGCATACTTTGTTGTTGTTGTTAATATAACTGTGTCAGGCACCACCAGTGACAGCCACTTAGAAGCCACAGGAGCATGTGCTTTTTATTCGGAAAAGGCTGTTGAAATGAAATTGTGCATTTCTCTTATTGTTTGTCTCTAACCATGTACAAACCCACTTTTCAACAAACGAATCCGAGTGATCTGAAGGCTCTAGGCATCAAAAGGAAAAAACAGTTAACAGGGTGTAGCGATGATCCTTTCCTCTCCTAAGCCCGCAAACACACACACACACACACACACACACACACACACACACACTCACACTTTATTCTGGAAACTCTAGAAAAAGAAAACTGTTAGAGAAAAAAAAAGTAACAGATGAAGGGAACTTCCTTTTCTCTTCCATCATTTTGACTGACTCGGAGCTCTTTTTGCTTACAGGTCTTCAATAGAAAACAAGAGGCAGCCAACTTATAGGAAAGTGTGATTCAAAACATTAATTCAAATGAATTTGAAAAGCACACAGTCTGTCCCCGCCTTTATCAGTTTCTTTTTAATTACTGTGAAATCAAGACCTAGGAAGAATAAATCAATTAGTCAACCTGTTACATGGCCCTCGTGTGGCAAACAGATCGAGGCCCTCCTTAGAGAGCTGCCGTTCAGGTACCTGAGCCTCTAGGGACTCACTGCTTGTCCCGGGTGATAATAATGGCCCAGATGTTATCACATCTGCCACAAGAGACCTGGAGAACGACAGAGGGAATAGAAATCAGATAACTAATCTTTCATTCAAGTCTCTCCCATACCAAGGGGGGTCTATATTTTCATCAAAGAGCAGAGCTCATTTCTATAAACCCATGGACTTGCACACCCGTGGATTTTATCTTTCCTCTGCATAAACGCGTGCGTATTTAGCATCCCCACTCACCTACTCAGATCCAAGAGCCCACAGGCGTCACCATGGCTTTTCTGATCTTTTTCTTTCCTTTCTTTTCTGTGCTCTCACCCCCTCCCTTCCTTCTAGCCCGAGAGGGAAGTGAAAAGGATGTTCACTCGCTGGTGTGAGAAGGAGCCGCGGCTCCATCCATTATGCGTTCCCCTGGGAGCGCTAAATGCAACTTTATCTCAACGGGGAATGGACGGAGAGTGGGAAGGCGCTGGAGGGGAAGAGTGAGTCTTGCAGTTGCTGTCGCAGCGGGTGTCCCGGTTTAACCTAATCCTTCCTGACACCCGTTGGGGTGGATGGGGAGCTCTCTGGTGGGGGGTAAGAAAGTCCCCCCCCCCCCGTGACACCCTACCCTTCCAATGTCTAGTGCCAGCAGTCATCAACCACTTTCCGGAGAAACGCTGCACTTTGTTATAGGTGCAGGGCCCACAGAAATGCAAACAGCCTAGATTTATGGTCACTGCGGGTGGGGAAGGAGAGAGTTTCTAAGTAACCCGGTCTACCTCGGTTTACCCCTAAGACACTGGCAGTCCTTCACTCCAGGACAGATACGGTGGAGAGTTTACTATCCTGCCAAAACTCCCAAAGCTCACCTCTCTTTGGACCACAGAAGTATTTTTTGAGCTCTGGTGAAGTTAGACCTCTCAAGAATATCTTACTTTTTTCCTCCCCTGGGACTAGACGTATGAAAGCTATGGATATATGGTTCTTTATTTTCCTCCTTTTGTGAACTGGATGCCCATTGAAGCCACTTCTGTTTTCTACCATGCATGTGTAGCAAAGCTCACAAAACAGAAAAGAAGAGGTCATTTGGGGAGGATTAGAAGGAAAAGGCAGGGGTGTTCTAACAAGCCAGGGTTGGCTGGGGCTGCTAGAAGATCCCGGATGGGGTTTCCTTACAAGGAAGGTGGAGACTGGGCAGGAGGTGTGTGCTTGCCCCAGGCAGAGCTGTTAATCTTCATTCCAGCTTGTTCCTTTTCAGAAACCAATTATTTCACCCCTCCTTCATTTACTTGCTACCTACTCTCTCTTTCCCAAAGACTTGCTGAGCTCTACCTAGTCTAGCAAGAACTAGAGATAAAATGAGGTATGAAAGCAGGGATATGTGCTCACCAAGAGAAGATAGTTCGGAAACACAGGGAAGACACAGGAAAAGGGTGATTACGGTAGGAATTTAACAGGTGTGACAGGAGGGAATAAATATGAGGTGATGCTTAAAAAGTTAGCCTACACATTCCTGTTGGACGTTGGATCATGTTAAGCCCAAGAGGGGTAAAAGGAAAGGGTCTGTGTGTGTGGTGGGGTGGACTCAGCTCACCCATATGTCACTGCTTTGTTTTCCTGGCTTGGCAACTGTTGTAATTAGTTGGTTCCTGCCTGTGCTAATGATGCCCACATGGGGTCTGAGCCTTGGCATAGATTTCTGGGCATTTTCCCCCACCTTCTTGTTTAATGACCAGCACAGACACCACCACCCTCACTCCCTCACCCCCCCCACCTCCCCTTCACATCATTTCATAGCTTTGCATTTTATCAAGAGAAGGATAATGAATGCACAGCTATTGATTTCCAAGGAATTTCCGCCCCTAGGGACAAGGAGTCTATCATCTGAATCAGAAACACATTTCTTTCCCTCATTAATTAATTTTCTCCTCCTCCTTTGGCAGACTTCACTTTGAATTTCCTTTGGCAGCACCCCTTTCCTGAGTTCAGAGAATGAACTGGTTGGTTGGAGGGAGGACGATCCAGGCAAACTCCCCTCCCCTTTGACCTGCCCTCCACTCAGCTGGGGAAGACCTGGCAGATGGAGGCTGTCCATCTGGGGTCTACTTTTCTTTTCCCAGGGGACTCAGGGAAAGTTAGTGTTTGACACAGCAGCTAGTATCGTCTTCTACCTCCAGGAGTGTTGAACTCAAATCTCGATTGCAATTTGATTTAGGAAATGTGGACAAAAAAATTCATCTGCCCACGTGGGAACAGTGGGACCCTAAACTCTAGCAGGAACCTGGGATTCTGGCCCCACCTGGTAACTGGGTTTGGACATCTGAAGCCAGAGGTCTGGTCATTGCAAGGTGGGGCATCAGGTATATAGCTAGCTGACAGGCACTGTCTAGTTTGAAAAGAAGCAAGTTTCACCCTGGAAGCCGCCAGTGTGAAGGTTCTGGCCAGGGAGCAGCAGGCCTGCGGTACAGGTTTCACTTGAGGCCTGTCCTAAGTTTGAAACAAGTAAGCACTGGTGAAGTGCTTTTCCTCCCCTCAGACTGTCTTCCTAGAACTCTGCCTGGACAGCTCTGATCGCAAATCTTATTCCTATTCCTTAAGCATCCCGACCCTATTTCCCCCAGGGACCTGCACTGGCTCCTTAAGGGACCTCCTCCAACAGCCCCTTAGGCCTCAACCCTGACCGGATAGCACATGGTGGTCGGTAGCCCAGCCCTTTGTGGTCCACAGGCCCTCCAGCAGCGTGAGCATCTGGAGATTTCCTGGGGGCCCTGTCCTCCTCTCTTCTTGCAGCCCCTCTCACAGGGTTCCCACATGCCAGCATGAGCGAAGTCCTGGGTCTGCTGGACTGGGATGTTCTCTCTTTTAAGGTTCCCAGTTCAGTGCAGACTGTCTAGTTGGGGCTAGCAGACATAGTTCTCAAACAAACCACTGACAAATCCATTGTTGTTGTTTTTTTTTTTCCCCCCCTCTGACCATTAAAAGAAACGCCACTTACAGCGGGGACATTTTTCTAAATGGTGTCCCATTCTGAGATGTCGCTGATGACTTAGCGACCTGGATGTCCCAACAGAATTCATTGCCAGTCACTCTCTAGGAGTTACATATACCGATCTTTATGTATATCTCTGCACCCTCATTTCTCTGTGCACATAAAATCCACCTTGCCAAAGCCCTACGGGTGATGCCTGACAACTGTATCTCTAATAGGATTCTCCTCCCTCCACCCGCGTGCCAGTTGACAGAGTCACTTGCAAAGCTTTCAGAGCCCGAGTGAACAAAGTTGTACCGCTCAACACGGCCGCGGACCCCTGTGATTTACGTCCCTGAAGGGCAGAGGACGCTTCTTCACACGCCACACCCGTCCAGGCCCTCCTGCCCCTCCGGTCAGCGGAGGCGTTTCCAGGTCGCTAGGTTAGAGCAACAACCACAAAAGCTACAACAGATGCACCGGCCCGTGTCCCCAGACCACCAGCAGCCTGCCGACCCAGCCCCGCGCACCGCCGGGATGCACAAGCTCAGCGGGCGTGAGCGGGCGGCAGGGGACGTGCCTGCTCCGAGGCCCGGGACACGGACTCCGGCGGCGACCTCCGCAGGCTCCTTCCCACCAGCAGGAGCGGGATCCCCAGAAAGGTCTGCAAGCCGAGGAGGAAACGACGAGGAGCGAGTCTGGAGCCCAGAGTGCAGAGCTGGGTCCTGTCGCCCGGCTCCCGGGCGCCGCCAGCAGCCCCTCCTCCCTGCCGCTCGCACAAATCAAAGCCCCTTGTGAGGGACTGGGAAATAGTTGCCTTGTCATGTAACACATTGCCCTGATTTATTATAAAATTTTAACGAAATCATGCATATTTTAACAGCCTTTAATCACTGCATGAAAATTTAATTCATGGACTGTAGCGCGTTTAAATAAATGAAGTGTTAATTCATTAGGATTAATTAATTTGTTAAAGGATTGTGTGCAAGGTTAAGGTGGAAAGAAAACTCTTTGTTGGTTTCGAGTCTTAATCGCCAGGTTTCCAGAATGGTAATAAAATGAAAGGAACCCGCAGCACGGACCGTCTTTCAAGTGGGGCTGGGACTGACTAGTAGTGAGCGCCCTGGAGACTGCAGAGCCCGCGCTGGGGGGCCAAGGCCGGTCCTGGGGGGTGGGAGTGGGCGGGAGGTGAGGGACTGCGGGCTCCGCAGGCTAAAGGGTTCCTGCAACGAGGGCGAACCGGACTCCACCTCCTCACTCAACGCCAGTTTGACCTCGGGGCTGAGGCAAGGTTGCTCGGGCCAGCCCTTGGAGGGCCAAATCTCAGCTTAATGGACAGTTGATGCGCCAGCCCCGCCACCTCCCAAGCCTTCCGGAGCCCAGGGAGTCAGTCTCGCCTCCAGGCCGCCGGTTTAGGAAGCTGGGACAGGACCCGGAGCAGCGGGAGAAACCCAGTTTGCAACCTCAGGCTAGAGAAATAGGAGAAAAACCTTTTTCAACCAGGAGCCCAAACTTTAGGATGTAGGTCCTTGGACACTTTTTCTGAGGCAGCTGCTAAACAGGCACCCTCTCCAGCCTAAAAGATGTCCTTTTCAGCGCCAAACTCTTATTCATCCTTTAAGAATCCAGTATGAACAGCATGAACCTGCCAGTTTTTCATTGCTCAAGTTATCCCTGATAGGACTTTTTTTTAAAACGTAAAATCAGTCTGGACCACAATTACATCCCCCTTCCTCCATGAATGTTGAAGTCAAATGCATGTCCCATGAGGAGGGTCTTTTCACTCCAAACTATAAATATAAAAAGCTCACACTTACACACTTGTTTAATCAAACATTTATTAGGTTCTTTTCTCTGTTAAGGTAAGCAGACCTAGGAATCTAATTTGTTTCAAAAGTGGAGCTGTAGCTCAAGGTATTCTAGACTGCTTCAGGCACACAAAACTGAAGTTTATCCTAGCTGATGCTCAGATGGATTCTTAAAAGAAATCTGCATCTTAACAGATGCTTCCTTGCTATGAGTGGGGTTCCGAGAATTAGGCAGTAAATGTTCACTGTGCACTCTGAAATCATTGCTTAAAAGGTTTTCTCTCTGCCAAGGATTATTAAAGGGATCAGGTTACATGGTGATAGGCAAAGGCTGTATGGCAGGCTCCTACAAATAGGCATGAAAGACGTTCTTATTAGGCTTTGGGAAACTCTTCCAACAGGCTACACAACATCAACTGCTAAATTCAATTTGATGCTCTACAAATACCAGCCACAGGTACATCTTTTTTTGAGAGGAAAAAAATCTTATGCATATATTACATTTTGAATAATTGAAAAGCATATAGAAAGTTAAGTTCCTAAATGTTATATAGTCCTAGTTCTTTTTGATCACTGGTACGTTTAGTTGTTTCAAACCAATGTAGATACCAAGAAAATGACAGGAACTTAAAATAAGATTTAAAATTTAGAAACTGTAAATCTTTGCCCACAATTTTCTGTTTTTAGGTCATCTGACTTTTAAAGAAGTCTTAGAATTTCAGTGTGAAATGGTTTTTCAAAATTAAAAGAGAAGCAATCTTGTAGTGGTGCAAGCCTAAAATTCCAGCACCTGGGATGCTGAGACAGGATGATCACTGAATTTGAGGCCACCATTACATAGTAAAATTCTGTCTCAAAAAAACCAAACCCCTCTCAAAATAAAAAGTCTTGTCACATTCTTATAGTCACTGCATTTTAGAAAGATTAACAATAAAAAGCCATTTTTATAAAAACATGAACTAAGCATCTGCTAACTACTTGCTAGTGGATATTTTAAAGCTGATGCAGTGCAGTGAAGCTAATAGGGAGAACAAGGTTAAATTTGTAAAAAATATCGAGTTATTGTGACTCTTTAAACCTAGAAGTGGCAATTTCCCATTGCGTTTGTTTAATCAGACCCAGGAACACAGGCAAGAGTTAAACATTACTTGAAGGAAACATGCTAATGTTCCCCAAAATACTTCAAAAATACTCTGCGAACTTCACATCCATCCATTCTTTTGTTTGGAAATATGTACTCCAGAATAGGACAGGAAGAGCATAACCTAGAGACCCAGTTCCAAGACACAGTTCTACCTCATTCCAGCTGCGTGCACTAGTCCTCAATTTACTTCCCTGTAAACTGGGATAACCATTATTTTTCACACAGGGTTTGAAAAGGGGATGAATTAGAAGTTAGCCAAATACTTGACCTCAATGGTGTTTTGTTTGTAGTATGTGGATATAATAGGTATGCTGGAAAATCTACGAGACCACCGTATTTGGCTACATACTCCCAACACACTGTCACTACATATTTATGTGGATTAAAAACACATATTCTTGGTTATAGAAAGAACTGAATGACAGTCATCCCAGACTTAGTCCACTTGAGCTAATGTAAAATACTTTACATGTTAGCCAACTTACTAACCATAGAAATTGCTCAGTTCTGGTGGCTGGGAAGTCCAAGATCAAGGGATCAGATTTGCTATCTGATGAGAACTTTTCTGCTGCAAAGATAGGACCTCCTTAGCCATGTCCTCATAGAGCTACTTGGCAAAAGGGAAGTCTTTCCTTGTAAGGCACTAATCCCATTCATGAAGGCAGAGTCTTCATCTAATCATTTTCCAAAGGGCTCACCTTGTAATATCATTATTATAGGAATTATTTAAATATATTAATGAGGGAGGCAAGGCATTCAGATCATAGTACCCTTAAATGTACCCTGTGACAGAAAAATTTTATATTTCTATATCTGATCACCTAATATATAACCATATCATAAAACAATTAACAATTACTGGAAAATACATGAGTATGCTTTGTATTGTTTTCCTGGCTATTACTGCTTCTGAAAGTGGAGAGCATGATTCTCCAAATAATAAAAGTGACTTGTTACCTTTTTATTTTCACTGAATCTTCAGTGTTTATTATAGTGAAGATCAACAATATTTTCTGTACAAGACTAGACAGTAAATATTCTAGGTTTTGTGAAACACATGGTCTCTTGCTACTATTCAACTCCGTGCTCATAGTCCAAGGGAGTCATAGGCAGTATGTAAATAAAGAAGTGTAGCTGTGTTCCAGTAAGACTATGTAGAAATTAATGAAATATGAATTTCACATAATTTTCTTGTGCCATGAATTATTCTTTGGATTAAATATTTTTTCTCTTAAAAAATAAAATCTGGCATTTTGGTCACAGGCTTTTCAAAAACAGGTATACACCAGGTCTGGTACTCAGGCCACATTTGGTATGACCCTCTACTAGAAGTGATTAAAGATAAGTGCTTCTCTTCCATATAGGCTAATTTAAAATTTGAAACACTTAAAACATACAGTGCTTATGACATCCTTTATTCAATTCACATAGAAAAGCAAGCAGTATTAATGTAAAACAATATGGTATTAATGTAAAAGGTTCAGTGCACATTAGATAAACAAGTCATCACTATACAAACCCATTTTTCAGAGGGCTTTCATAGGCATACCAAACATGTTCAGAATCATATAATTTTTTGAGCCTAAATTACAAATTGTGCTTCATTATTACCTATCTTTATCTCCTCAATACTCTTTAAGGAAAAAAAAAAGTCCCAGATAAAAGTCTACTAGCCAACTAAAACTTCTTTTTCTTAAGTATGGAAAATAAAGCAAGCAAAAATGTTATCATGCATTCTGTTTACACAAAGAACAGTCACATGCAAATAAGAACTTTATCATTTCAAAAACATTTCCCTGGGAGATAAGTGGACCAAGAACTTGGCAAAGATGCTTTTGCATGTATACATCTGAAACAATGAAGCTATAATGTTTAAGCTCCTCCAACAAACCTAACTGCTCTATATCTTCCAAAGTATACTCAATCTCTGATTTTAAATACAAAATATAAGCTATCTGACATAAGATGAATATGCACATATAAGCTGCCTGACATAAAATGAAAAAGCAAATGTAAGATGCCTGATATAAAAAGTTATTTCTATGTAAAAAATTGCATTCTTCTATAGTAACAGAACATGGATAAGCCTGGACAAAACTTGACAAACTACAATGTTAAAAAATGCAAACATATACATAAAACTGTAGAAAAAGTAAATGAACATTGGACTACGGTCAGAGTACTATTTCTCCATCACAGTCTTACATAAAACTGGGCCATTACTAAACATAAATAAAAAGGGGCACAAAGAGAATTTCCACTGTAGAAGTTTTAAAGAAATTCAAGTGTCTTATGATCAGTGCATAGACAATACTAAAAGTTTTGAAGACAACTGAGCCTTATTAATAGGCCACTGTATCTAACAGTTAAATAAGATTCAAGAAACAAAACACACTTAGCCCAGACACACATACTCATTAAACAAACAAATAATTCTCCCTTCCTTCTCTGGTCAAAAACACCCCCAAATTAAAGATCAGAAAGTCTTTTCAAAATGATGTAAAAGGTTCAGTGTGGGCATAGGTTAAACCACTATTCTGACTTGACATTTGACTAAAGATTATCAATTCAAATTGTATTTATGAAAGGAAAAAAAGCAATTTTACAAACTTTTATATGCCTTTCAGGACAAGCACACAAATGACAACTTCCTAATGAGTCAACTTTTAGTCGCTTTTGATGGGCTGGCATTAGACAGAGTGCTGTGGATTTTTCTTTTTGTTGATTGATTCACATTTTTATTCCTCTTTTCAGGCACAAAGGAAGCAGACCAAGGAGACTGAAGGTGGTTATGAAGACTGTGCATCTCTGAGGACATCTTAAACAAAGATGACCCAAACCTTTCATCTTCAAATAGTCGATGTGAACTGCTTAACAAAACACCCTGGGAAAACTCTGTCTGAAATAAACAGCTTGAGGGTTTGATTTCATTAGTTTCTGGATTAGAAGTGGAATGGAGTGAAAAATCTTCATTCATTTCTTGGTCAGATGGAGAAAGAAGAAAAAAGGAAGTTGGTTTCCATTCATTTCCATTTTTTAACTGATCAGCAGTTAGAGAACTTTTGGGAAGATTGAGCTCAGTTCTTTCATCCAACTTACTCGGTTCCTCAAGAAAATCATTGCCTTGAGATGACTTTGATAACCCATCCAAATCCACTGACTTAAAACCATTATTACAAGGGCTCTTGCTGTTGTCTGACTCTGACATCATTGAATCCAATTCAGAGATTTTGTCAAGGTAAGCAGCATCCATTGATGCTTCGCTTGATGTTCTTGTCCGGTTCATTTCAAAAGAGCGAATGGAATTCAACCTCTTGGATAAACATGAGGTTGATTTCTCACTCAATTTTGAAGGTATTTCTCCAACAGAGTTTGCTATTATGTTCCCCTCTGAATTTTCAAAATCCAAGCTTTGGGCATAGCTTGTAGAGCAACAATCCCAAAATGCTGTCTTTGGGGGAGCAAAACATTCTGATTTCTTTTCATTTTCATTTCTACTTACATCATCTTCTGAACAATCCTTATTACAAACATTTGGAGATTCACAAAAATCATCAAACACCAGTTTCCTGAGATGATTTGAGTGCTTCTTGGAACCTCCTGCTTTTACTGCAGAGCTCTCTCGATTTTCTGGAGTATTTAACTGAAGGCAACTAAGAGATAAAGGAGTACAAGGAGCCGGAAGATCATAAAGCTCTTCATCTTTGTAGGCAACACAGTTACTAGGCTTACCACCCCATTCTCCTTCCAAATAAGTATTCATACTTGTATCTGATACATCTAACATTATTTCTACCTGTTTTTGATACAGATCTTTGTTCTTATGCTGGTTTGGTTCTGTTTTGCAGGTGATTTCCTGTCTCGCAGCACTGGTGTCAGAGAGTCTGCTGCTGGAAAGTTTTCCCAGGTGAGAAGAACTTAAGGTGGATGAGCTAGGCTTTCTGGCACTGTCACCTTGATTGTTTGATGCCACATCTTCCTCACTGCCTCCCTTACCATCTGCAGAAAGTGCTCTCTGGCAAATGGCATCCATAGTTTCCCTCTCTTCACTTGAATTTTTCAGTTGTGCAATTTGAGATTCTAGTTCCTCTATATACTTATCACTTCTTTCCAGGGCTTTCTTAAGGCGATTGGTTTCACGTTCATACTGTTCTACTTTAGACTGAAGAGCAGCAACTGTAAACCTTCCAAATCTAGAAAGAATGGAAGGACAGTTAATTGTATAGTTCAAGCTGTTTTTTTAAAGTTTAAGAATACAAACGGTCCAAGTCCATTCTAATAAGGATATTTCACACTACTTAGGAAATAGGACAAAAGCAAGGCCAGAATCTCCTCCAACTCTCTTCAGAAAAGGGCTGTACCACTAACTTATGAATAATATGCATATTGTAATAACAGCAAAAATCTAATAGGTCATTTTAATAGTACAATCAGACTAGTGGTGGGAGAGAGGTAGAAACTGATGATTTCTCTTCTAAAAGCCAGTTCTATCAATACAGCTCATATATGCATGAAGTTATCCCCTAAAACAATGGCAAAGATTTATGATAACATTTGAACAGTGGTCCACATCTTGAAATATTTACATTCAATCATTTTCCTATCGCACAGCAGTGTTTTACATTTCTTATACAATGTCACCTTGTCAAACATAAAACACCAATTTGAAATTCAGAAATCTTAGAAGTCCCAGGAGGGGTGGTTTTAAATACTTATTTGGACCTTTTCAATTATAGCCATCCTTGATATGAAGCTTTTCTTTGGCCTTTCCGAGCACTGGGCTTTAATTCATTTCAGCTATACTTATTTTTGGCATTTTACAACTGTGTAGGACATCAATCTCATTTTTCCAACTTTGAAACACAAAGTCAGTGCTTGTAGTTCCAATACATAAAAACATTTTTATATTTTCTGAAAGGGAACATTTTAGAGTGACTAAAAAAAAATTCACTCTTTTACTTCTTCTTTCACTTATCTTTTTTTTCCCCTTATTGCATAAAGAATAGGTACTAGGCTCTGCTATAAAAACAATTTTGAGCATTTAATATAGGCTAAATTAGTGTATTTGGGGTTAGGGACACAAATAGGAGTAAGATTGTTTCAGTTCTAATGACCATAAAATAGTTTAAATTGTATTTTGCCACTAAGAAAAATTCTTTCAGGAAACTACTTCCAATGAAACAATAAAAATTCTAACTTCATAAAATAAAGTTTTTCTCTCCAAAAATTCCTTTCAAGAGCTTTAATCAATCACTTTTTTTTGATGATTTACATATTGATTCATTTCTAAAAATTTAGGGATCATCTATTTAAGATATCTGAAAAAGGTAATGTATAAAATCTGTTATCTTTGGGTTTATTTTTTTCTTTTCTCCTAATATAAAAATACTTATAATTAAATTAGTTATAAAAATGTATAAGAAGCCCACAGTAAATGCCTCTTACTACAACATATTCTAGATGCTCATTTAATGCTGACCACCTCCTAACCTCCTGGCTCAGTTTACTTCCTAGATAGGCACTGACATGATTCTCACTCTTTTCTATAAGAAAAGAAAGTAGAGGCACAAGTAAATATAGAATTATAAAATCTCAGGATCAGAAAGGACTTTAAAAGACATGATTGCTGTATATTGATCTATTCATTGCAACTAACTAAACTCCCAGAGAGAGCATCTTTTCTTAAATTTCTAAAATACAAGAGTAGAAGCCATAGATATAACAAAAACAAAAGCAACAGTAACAGGGCTCTCCAGTATAAAGACAAAGTTTACTACAGTGAGTATCTGCTTAAGTGAACAATAGGAGTATTTTTTTTTCTTTTTGTTAAAGTGTTCTGGCTTGTAAATGTAGTACCTGAAAGAGGTGTAGTTCTGCAAGAAAATATTTTAAAAGGTAGGCAAAGACTAATTTTAAGTGGATTTGACAAAAGTGCTTATGAGGAGTCTTTGGTGTAACATTTTGGACATAATCAAATAACCCATGTTTTTAAATGGAAAAATTGTATAGCATTTTTAATGCAAATAGCAAAAGTATCAAATTTACATTTGCTTACCAAGATAAAACTTTTTTCAAGTATAGTTTTTATAATACAGGTATCTTCACATGAGAAAAATCAAATGATTTAAAATCAAATAATGCTACTAAAGGATATCATTGGTAACTCAGGGCTATATAAAGACTAGTGACAAATGAAGAAAGCATTTTCAATTATTAGTGGCTGCTTATTCCAGGTTTTAACTTGAAATTTTAAACACAACATCATTTTAAGATTTTGTGTTTAGCCCTTAACTCCTTTAAATTGTTGGCACAACTCTGCCATATATAATTACATTCATCTTAGGAAAACGGTATATATGCTCATTGAATCTTGGTCCTTTTACCCCCCGATCTGTACCTTGGTCTCCCCAGCACAATACACATACCCTCCCCATCTGCACAAAGTCTATCTCCTTGTTTTCTACCATCTCTTTTGTATTTTGTTCTTTAAATTATTTGTATTTTTGGTTTTCTCTTTTTTGCATTGTTAAGGTTCAAATCTAGGGCCCTGTGCATGCTAGGTAAGTGCTCTACCAGTAAGCTACATGCCCACTCTCATGTTTTCACATGACTCAACAAAAAGTTCTGTGTTGAAGTCAGTAATGTCCTTAACATCTTGGTGTTACTTCAGAGTTCAGCAAAAGAGTACACATGAAAAAGACAATCATGCAGGAAGGAGCTGGCTGTTTTCTAAAAGTCACTGCCTCTAATTCCCAATGATCAATCATTTCAGGTTCATAATACCTTAAGTGATCAGACCATTTTACTTTCTGAATAAGAGACCCATGCAGTCAAGCAAACTGACAGAAGTGTACAGTGAACACTATGGAACTGACCAATTAATGAGTCAGTCTATGTAACTTCTTTGTTTTCTGATTCTGCCTATTAGAGTGAATGTTCCAGAAGAGCAGGAGGCCTGACTTTATTATGCACACTGATAGATCTTTACAGTAATTCCCAGTATACAGCAGTCTCGTTAAATATTTCTTTAATAACTGTCATTCTCTTACTTTAAAATGCATCAGTATCAGTGCCCTACATTAAGACAGAGCCTATGCCACATGATAAGTAAACCAAAGGCTTCTGCTCCTCTTCACATGTACATTTTATGACCATCATGCTATTGCTAAATTAGATTTGTTTTATAATTTTACTGTTTACTTTCTTTTCACTGACACCAAGTAAAGCAACAGAGTGAACAGTGACACATACACAGTATAACTTTTATAACATTTTATAAAGCTTCATTCAAAAAACTTCCATTTTTATCTTAGTGAAAGAACACAAAAATAAGAGGCTTTTGACATAGGTGTTAGAGATTTTTTTTTAGCTTATCCTGAAGATCTTCTATATTAAATTTAGCAAAGGGCAATACATCATAAAAAATAACAGGGATATATATGTGATACTATGCTTCCATGGAATAAGACAACGAAGAATTTATTTGTCTTTGAGTTTTACTACTCTCTTATATGAGTTCCAGATATTTCTAGAGCAGATGACAGTATATGAAGCAATGCCAGAGCAAGCCAGAGGGATTTCTAGTATCATTTACCATACTTCCTTTTCCTGTGAAAATTTCAAAATGGAATATTTTTATAAACATTCCTTTAGAGACCAAAACGCTTTGATTGTCAAAGTAGAAGTGATGGCCAAAGATTTCACTACGCCAGAGAAACACTAGTTTGGGAGCTGCAACTGATACTGGAAGTGTATTCGGCCAAAATCTAGCAGAAACTTACGGATTTTTCAGTTTGCAACAACATTAAGTAAGCACATTCTGGATGAGAAAAGAAAATGAAGATCCTCTTTTCCAAAAAGGTAGAGAGGCAGCTACTAGAAGAAAAATGAAAGTCCTATTTTCCTTTGAGGCACTGTAACCAAGGCAAGAGGATCTGTAGCAACAAAAGTTTCCTAAGACCACATTTTCTCATTGCTTATAGAAACAACACGATGTTGCTGAAGATAATCAGAAGAAAACACACAAAGTACAAAATAAATGTCAGAAGCCAAATATCAAAAGAGCTCTAGTATTATGCTACTATCAACCAGTTGTGAATCTTATACCTCTCCAGCTGTAAACCCCAACAAAAGGAATGAGAGCGTCATACTCACTGTGTCGCAAGGCTGACCAAACTTTAGAGTCCTTCTTGAGGAACAAGCGGGTACAGAAAGGGAGTTCTTGCCTCTCCTCATGAATCTTTAATTTCATCTTTTCCTCACTTCCTAGCTGAGGTAATAGTAAAAGTGCAAGCACTATTAAGTCTGGAATAACTTTTGTGGTCTAGCCTGTGCCACAGGTTTTTGGTGCTGATGTTCTTGCTTAACACGATTTCAGTATGCACAAATTTCAGTTATCCTGGGGTTAGCTAAATATCATTAGTTACCCAACAAAAGTGGTTCAAATTTCAGTTGCCACGTTATCCTGTATTAACTGTGAGTATCTACTAAAGCAAAGCCTACATTTCTAGCTGTTCAATTCACAAAAGACTACACAAACAAAAGATACATATTACAAAGCCCACACTTCTAGCTGTTCAATTCACAAAAGACTACACAAACAAAAGATACGTATTACAATCAATAACTAGTCAGGTCATCTCTTTCAAAGTCCGACAGCGACGGGTTATTGTGCTTTAGCAGAGTGTTACTACATAGCCTTCCCATGAAAAACCTATAGAATATTTCATAGAAATATATAAAAGACAAAATTGGCCAACAAAGATGAAGGTGCTATGTAGAAATTAAAAAAGGTCTATGCTGGACACATTAAATTTTTTTTTTTTTTTGTCTTTTTGAGACAGGATCTCACTATGCAGTTTAGGCTGCCCTTGAGCTCATTTTGTAGCCCAGGCTAGTCTCAAACTTGCAATGATTCTCCTGCCTCAGTTAAAATTAAATTTAAATGTAGTTATGGAAGAAATAGCTGAAGCTGGAATATTACAATAATCCAAAACCATTTGAGAGACTAAATATGCCAGAGGAATTTAGTAGAGATAAACTTAACGACAAAGATAAGAAACATAGTTCTGATGAAGAGGAAGATGTTTACAGGAAATACAGACAAGCACCATTCAAACATTTTATAATCTAAGGCCATACCACCCTGAACACACCTGACCTCATGAAATATTCTGTTTCTATAAAATAAAAA